AAATCAGTGCCCTTTTTGTCCAGTAGAAGTTGTCGCTCCAGTCCTCGGAACAGCTCTGCATTATTACAATCTCATCCACGGGCCTCTTCCACTCGCTGCACCAGGAAATCCACCCCAACGGCTTGATGGACCCTATAAGCCTACCGTACAATATCTCCATCATGGCATGTGTGCGATTTCTGTCCCAGTCAATTCGCCCCGAATCTTGGCTGCCTTGCCGTTGGATAACTTGGCCGAACAGTTTATCTCTCAAACCGAACAACTCCTTGGTCACGACTCTCGACTGAACGTAATTGTCCTCTCCAATGGAGAAGTCAATCTGGCCCGATCGACTAAAAACACAACAATGCTCTCCGCAAACCCTTATCTCCTTCCCAAGGACATGCTTGAATTGTTTCTGCGTCCAGGTACAATGGTTCACGGCCTGATGAGCATGCATACTAGCCCGGGGAAACCGGGAGATCTGAGTTGCTCGATTGTTGCGCGTCCGTTGACAGTAACTGGCGAGATCTTTATCGCGCAAATATCACTCGGCGCCCTGCTAGCTCGCCCAGCCCTCCCAAGCTCCAATCCCCGACTGGTCTCGATGAAGCGGCTCCCATACGGATACACACCCTTGTTCACTCGGACGAGCTTGGTTGCTAGTGAGCACACTACCTTTGCTGGCCTTTTAGTCACAGCCAGCACCAAAGATCAAGACACGAGATATGTCTGCCTATGCCACCCAGCCAGAGGTAGCTCTACCCGCGCCTCTCGACTCCTCGCTTATGCCACACAAACCGATCAGGCTAAGGCCCCCCTAAAATGCAACCTGACAGGCAGCGTTCAAGCTGTCGGATGCTTCGACAGCCAAGGTTGGTATTGCAAGAGTGACCCTGTCAATGTAACTGCCGAACATTCACACCTCGGATCCACGGGCCTTTTCGTCACTGATCTCAACCGTGAAATCCACATTTCCGTCCAGCCGTTGTCATATCAAAAAATCAGCCTCAAAGGCTTCTCGGAGGGGGAGCTACCTAAAGCACTTGTTATGGAATGCTCAAGCTTGAAGCAATCGGGAAAAAGCAAATGCTCTGATGGAGGAAGTTCAACGATTTGCTTTAGTTCTTTAAATCGGTTACTTGTGTGGAATATGCCTGAAGGATTAAGGATGTCTGATCATGACTCTGGGCTCTATACATCGTCCCATGAGGTCTCCTTTCCCAGTTCCTTTTTGCTCAGCACCCTGGCCCAAAGCAGTTCTTCACCTTCATCCACTGTCCTGGCGCTTGACACAAATGGCCAACTGGTTCGAGCACTCCTGCCCGAAAATCTTTGTGATCCTGGCGTCGATTGTTCCTTTAAGTTGAAAGTAACTATGTGCCATCAGATCGGGACTCAAAAAACCTTGGGCCTGGATGACGTTAGAAGTCAAGTTATTCTACTTGAGCCACAATACTCAAGATTTCTCGCCATGTGTTAGTGTACTTGTTAAATCTCTTTTACTGTTGATGATGCTCTTGGAAACTGATATTTTTCTCCCTGTCGACAGTGTGTGTAATGAGCGAGACAAAACTCAGTCGGACGTATAGAGTGATTGTCGTGGATTTGAGACAACAGCCTTACTCGCCTGGGATCGTGGGTTTTGACACGTTCGAGGTTGAGCGAGGCAGTGATGGAGCGGAGAATGAGGCCCAGCTCAAGTGGTCGGACTATCAAAGCAGAGCCCACTCCCTCCCAAACGAATGTTTCCTTTGTGTCTGTTGTGGCACTGATCTAGTCAGAATATACACTCGAGCGAGCGATGGATGGTGGGCACAAACGACAACTGTCCACTCCGAGTCAGTCCCCTTCATTCACTCCCTCTCTTTCTTTGTCTTCTTGGCGCTCTCTCATCATCGCTTCCCACTCCTTGCTTGGCAGATTGGGCTCCATTTCTCAGATCTCCTGGCTTGCCGGGTCCGACCATTCAACCCGAGTGCTCTATCAAACCGCCGGACATACCTTACTGGGGCCTCCGATCAGCATTCCTGAGCGACTCGGTCTACCGCCTTGGCATCCTATCCTCTTGAAAAATCAACTTCTATTCGGTAGGAGAGCCACTCTTATCTCTTCCAATGTTACACAAAATACTAACACAAGGACTGTGATTTACTGCAGGTAATTTATCACTGTCATTTGCGACTGTGGCTTGTATTTCTCTTGCCTTGGAAGGGTGTTTGCAGCCGTTGACATCCTTATGCCAGAGAATCGTAACTTTCGGCCTTGAAGATGATGAGGAATCGATCGTCCAAGAGCTGGACGACTTGGCGAATGATTCCGTACTGCCTGGGAACTTGTCGCCCACTATCCTGTCCCAGGCTCACATCGATGCCATCTCTTCCGCCGTTAATGGTCGCAGAATTCCTCTACTATCTGCAGACGAGCAAGCTTTGATTCTACGTTTGGTCAGGGCGTTCTTACAGGTGCGTTGACCAGTAGGATTTGTCTTCTCTGGCCAACCTACTCATGTCGGCATGAATTTTGTTTAGGTACAAACAGCCCGGGCTCATGGGATTGATACATATGGCTGCCAATACATATTTTCCATGATCGATCATTTGGAGGATCCCGTTGGGTCACGGGCTGATTGGGATCTCGGGTTTGGGCCAAGCCAAAACTGTGGAATTTTAAGTGCACAACTGTCTTCGACACGGGGCCTGATCGGTCAAGAAACGAGCTTGATCCTAAGCAAGTATTCCCATCAACTGGGGTCCAGGTTAGATTGGAAAGCTGCCCGATCGGTGGGTCTCTTCATGTGGCTCGATCCTGTGGAGGAGGTACATTCGTACCTCGAAAAGGTCGCCCAAGCCGAATACGTCAGCGGTGGTAGTGGTAATGACCGGTCCTCAGTTCAGGCCCTTTCGTCCGACGGCCCTAGGGAACAGGATCCGGCGGCATGTAGCATCTTCTACATGGCCCTCAAAAAGAAACGGCTCCTGATGGGCCTGTGGAAAGTCGCGTACGGACACGCTGATAGACCTTTGATGACTAAGTTCCTTGAGAATGACTTTTCGGAAGCCCGCTGGAAAACGGCGGCACAAAAGAACGCATTCGCCCTGATCAGTCGACAGCGCTTCCGTGAGTTTTCTTATAATCATAGTTTCAGAAGGAGAGAGAAGAAAATACTGACCAATCCGCTTTCCTTTTTTCTTTTGGTGGGAAAACAATTTTCCGTCCAGGTTTTGCAGCCTCTTTCTTCCTACTAGCCGACCGGCTCCAAGACGCGGTGAATGTCTGTGTCCGCCAGCTCGCCGACTGGCAGCTAGCCCTAGCGATCGTCAGAGCCTACGAAGGCGACCGGGGCCCGGCGATGGATAAACTGCTCACCGAGACCGTCCTTCCGCTCGGCTTCTCGACCGGTAATCGTTGGCTCGTCAGTTGGTCTTTCCGGATCCTTGGACTGGACGAGTTGGCTTGTCGCGTCTTGGTCGTCAGTACTCACCGTTTTTCATCTCCCTTTCACTCCAAAAGAAAAAAAGTGCAAAATGTTGAATCAAAATAATATGGATCTTTCTTTTGTGACTCACAGGCGAGCTGGGATGACCCGTTGATCCGGAACCATTGGACGCCCTCGGTCTCTGAGAGATTTTCGGTTCGGATTGGGCCGTTAGATCTCTCGCTGGTCATGCTATTCAATCGTCTCAAGCGAGCCCACCAATCGCCGCTGAAGTGGACGGACGAGAGAGCGCTGATTCTACTAAGTGTAGAAGAGCTAATCAACGCTGGTGAGCCTTATGCGTCATGTTCTTCCATACGAATTGGTTTGCTGAGAAGTTATTGTTATGGAAACAGGATGTACCATGTTGGCCGTCACCCTGGTCAAGATGTGGCACATCGACCGACCCGATCTGCCCCCCAAACATCTTCCAATCGCGTCCGACCCTCATCCTCAATTGCTCCTCGATCCCGATTCCTCTCAAGACCCCTCCACAGATCATCAGCCCTTAAACCCCATCGAAAATCCGACGCCGATGCCTAAAAAAGTCTTGAGTCAACCGGTCGTGCCCGAATTCGAGCTGTCTAACTTCTTTTGATCATGTGTCTATATCGTCCTTTTTTGATTTCCAATCGCCATAGTCCTCTCTCTTGAATGCGTTGTTTTTTTGTAGAAAAACACGTTATCATCTTACCTCCTCCACATCAGCTTTCTCCATCTTTGCATGCAAAAATGTTCACAGAGTGTGGTCGCTTCATATTTACATCCGACTCTCGCTCAACCGGGCCATACCCTTTGCTCGATATTTTTCATATGGGTTGAACTTGAAGAGAGGGGATGAATTGATAAGTCCAGGTTACCATCAGCAATTCACGCCTTTTTGTGAGTTGAAAGGGCTTGTGGTTAAAAGGGAGTTGAACATATGCTCTGTCAGAGGCTTCCTTATAGCAATGTGAGGCATTGACATTTACGTAGGACTCGTCGTCCAAATGGAATGAGATGATTGTGAAAGGCCTGGAAAGTTGATGATGATTCCACATTAAAAGGTTCTTTCCGCGCTTGTTTTCTAACCGATTTTAACAACACAAAACAGTGCTTGACAGAGAAGGAGTCAAATGACCGGGAGTACTGGTAGCTTTGACCACCAGTTATCATAGCTTTAGTATGTTGCTGTGATTCTGAAAGGATCAAATGCAGAACAACCTCAAGGTGAGCCCACGGCACTGTTCCGGTTGCCACATCGATGACGCTGGTTATGCCGTTAGACAGTGTCCCTCCTTCACTGTCCCAGAGCTCATCTAGCTCTTCCTCATCTCAAGTATTATTCAGTCATTTTTCACTGCTCCATTTTTCTGCTCCTCAATTGAGAGGTCATATCACTGTCCATTTGTTTTGGTTCCATTAACATCATCATGATCAATTCATGGAAAAGTCTTCAGGCTAATCTAATCACATTTGTCATCAAAATTTTACAAGTTTGTGAAAAATGTCACATTACTTCAAACCTGATGATTCATGAGATTGGACAAAATTCATAAAATTTTATCTATAAATGTGCTAAACGTTGCCTTGAACTTCAGAGGTGAACCGGCCTACTATAAATAGTTTCCATTTTCTATTTTTATTTCTTTTATCTACTCACATCAAAACAAATCAATGGATCTGTTATAAAATTTATAAGAAAAAAAGATTTACATTCTCTTAAAAACATAAAAATATCAATATGACTGTTATGAATGTAGATAGTAAATGATTATCTTTCTGTTTCTTTTTCCTTAAGAGACTTGTTTTGTGATTTTTATTTTTATTACAAAAGTCCATATACAACAAAATAATTAAAAAGATTTTAGTATTCTTGTCTCAAAAATGAAGAAAATTAAGAGCCAAAAGTTCCAATCCAGAAGTTGTGGAAATTCTTTCTAGTGTCCTGCAAAATTTCCTTCCACTGTGTGTGTTCATGTTTGAGGAGAGCATTACAGGTTGTCAGCTGACCCAGTTTGTACATAGTCAAGCAACTAATTGCGCCCATGGAAAGCCACCTGGAGCAGTGGGCCAGTTATTAGCATAGTGTAGTGGAATTTGGCTGTATTCACGCTAACACTATGTGTGCAGGCCCCCCAAAAGTGCCCACTACACTACACTAATGTGCTGGTTAGCAGCATTGTGACCCTGTAGCAGCTGTTAGCGGCATTTTGGCCCTGTAGGGGCCATTAGGGGCCCATAGCCCAGTGTAGTATAGCAAAAAACCACTAACTGTTTGCTAACACTACAAAATTTCTACACACAAAAAAAAAATGCTCCACTAATACCTTTTGGGAAAACAGTGTGGTGTAGTGTAGTGGTCCATTGTTGACACCTGCCTATTCTACAAAGGTGTTGGAATTTTGTCTTCTTATTCACCACTCATTCCTTTTTCATTTTCCTTTTATCTCATTTTCTTAGATTGTTACCTATGGGTCTGCAGATTCATCACTCAAAGATTTCTCCGTTATATTCTGACAACATCTCCGGTTATGAAGTTTATTCCCCAGCTTGTAGTCATTGAACCCTGTCTGAGGAGGGTATTTCTTCTCTCATATAGTCTTGCTTATCTTCTAGGTTACATCCCATTCATGTTGGTGTTTGATGTTGTACCAAGGGTGGATGGCTACATTAAAACCATTGTTGGATTTGAGACAAAGAGG